CTGCCCCACCTTACTTCGCCCTCGCTCGACTATGCCTCCCTCTCATCGTTCTTCAACTCACATGCTCTATCCTTATCCTTTCTTCTTCTTCTTCTTCTCTTTACTTACACTCACTCTCATATACACATCCTTGCTTCTTTTGTTTTTTGGTTCATTGGAATACGGTCCATCTCCTCCCTCACTTGTGGCTTTGTTTCCTCATCCTTCTGACTTTTGTTCCTCTTTCTGTCTCTCTTTCTTTCTCTCTCTTTCTGTTTTTTTTTGTCATTATTGTTTTGGTTTTTCTTTTTGGTTGGTTGGCTACATAGGGAGGACTCTCTTTCTCCGGTTTTTGGTTGGTTTTTTGGGGGGGATGGTTCTTCTGTTCCTTTTTGTTTTTATAGGTTATATTAAGGGGTTTTTATCATATCTATATATATAATATGGAAAGTATTCTCTGTGCGGTTAGGTGGTGGGAGGGCCAGATTCGATCTGCTGGACTACATTGATTCACACATTCTTATTTGCTTTTTTGAAGTTTTTTTTTTTTTTTTTTTTGATGTTAAGGTACAGTTGGTGGACTGTTATTTTTGGCTGCTTGTTTTGGATTCCAGAGCTTCAAAGTGCAAACTTTGAGTCACAAGACTTGATCAAGTGGTGCAGAATAAGGTCCCAAAGAATGAAGATGAAGAACTCAAAAAAAAAAAAAAAAAAAAAAAAAGTTTTCAGATTTGTGAAAAATTACAAATAAAAATGGGGTGTTGATTTTTTCCAAAAGCTTTGTTATTCGTTTTTTGGGGGAGTGGGAGTGCTGAGAGAAAGAAAGAGTGGAACATGGCAAGAATGATTATAAATGAAAAAAAAGGTGGAGCCAGGTTAATGGTTGTTCAGATTGGAGTCAAAACTGCACATTCTAGTGCGGTTCCATAACTTGTGCCGGTGAATGTGCTACTCAACAGTTGTTTGAAACTACCTGGTGACCATTTTTTTACAACATTTTCATTTATAGGTAGGTATTAATTATAAACAAATTTTTTTGGATTTTTGGATTTTTGGTTTGAAAACTTTTTGAAAAAGGAAATGAAATCAAAATGAAATGAAACAGAAGTTCAAAGATTATTCAAAACAGACTCAAATAATTTATGCAGTTATAAAACTAGACCAGCCGGGGTGCTGTGGGTCCCACCATCTGCATCGATCTGGCGGAACTCCTGAGCTCTCATCAGGTCCAGCCCATCTGTCACGCCGACACCACACAGTTGATGTGCTCACAGGTGGGGTCTTGTCTGTTGGTAAAACGATCGAATTCGGGCTTTATTTCTCTATCAACAACGTGCAGGCTCTCTATCAAGAACGACCAGGCTCTCTATCAATCACGAGTAGGCAACCAGACAACAGCATTCTAGGATAATGAGCCAAAGGGCTCAGTAGGGAAAATCAGGTCGGTTCCGGTTGGAACCCATGGTTAAGTTGTCATATCGTCCCAAGATGACCTTGTTATCTTGAGCGGAATGGATTGCTATCCACTGTGTGCATGGGCTCTCCTGTATGATTTGATACTATTCAGTCAAATGCCGGCCAAAATCTGGTATTCTTTTTTGGAAATGAAGGTTTTGACATCTCAAACCATCTCCAGAGGTGGTTTGAAAGCTTTTGAGTGAGTTTTTGAAAGAAAAAAAGAAGTTTGAATACTTTTGGAAAACTTTCAAATGTACTTCAAAGTATTGTTTATAATCAGTGCCATAATCGTTCTTCCCATCTTCCATTCTTTCTTTCTAATTCCAGAACTCCCACTCCCCCAAAATGAATATCAAAGCTTTTGGAAACAAAAAAAACCCCCCATTTTTATTTTATTTTTATTTTTCACGCATTTTGAAACTTTGTTTCTTTTTCATATTCATTTTTTGGGACCTATTGTGCACCATCTCACCAATTCTTGTGTGTTCAAGTATGTGCTTTGAAGCTCTGGAATCCAAAACAACCAGCCAAAAATAACGCTCCAGCCACTCTACATAACCAGTGGAAGAAACCTTATACATATACATATTACAAAAAAAAAAAAAAAAACAGACAGACAGACAGACAGCAACAACAATTTTGTAGTAGGCCTTTGGGTGAAGCACTGGACTGCCCACACAAGGGAAATGTCTGATCAGGTCTGCTGAAACTGCATCAGAGGTGTCCCATCATGATTGATCCACAGTTTAGATATTGCAAAGAAATAATGGATTTTATTGCTAAGAACCAAAACCAGACTAGAAGAGAAAAACAGAGATGTCAGACAAGAAAAAATAAGAGAGAGAAAACTGGTCAACAGAAAAGAAAGAGACAATCGTACCACTAAAGATAAGCAAGATATAGAGATAGTCAAGGACTTAGATGAGGAGGAAGAGAGGAGAAGAAAGGTTAAGAAGCAAACTAGAAAGAGAAAATAAAAAAGGGCAGAAAACAAACAGGAACAGAACAATGAGATCAAAGAGTCGATTAGTAATTTCCTCATCAAACAGAAGAGAAAGAGGTACAAGAACAAGAAAAAGTGAAACAGATGAGGAAGAGAATCAACAAACAGGCACACAGATAGAGCAATGTTGAATACCAAGTAACTGTCTTTGCAGCTGAGGAATTGTTGAATAGCAGGATCAGAATCGGCTGAGTTTGATTCAGAGAGGGAGAGAACTTTACTTTGATTTTTTATGACGATGAGCTTGAGTTCTTGAGGGGTGTCTTCTTGATCTTGATCTTGAAGAGACAGGAGCAAGAGCAAGCTTGAGAGAGCCAAAGGATGTTGTTGAACCGGATGTCTTGACGAGGTTAAGGTTCAACATGAGAGGAAAGAACAAGCTTATGAGACGTTGAGAATCCAAACCCTATGCGGTTGAGGGTGTTATTCTCGCCGTGTTACTGCGGCGAGGTTGATGGGGGAGAAGGATTCTTTGAGAGAGAAAAATAAAGAAACTCAACATATTGCTGAATGATCATGGGGTGTCAACGGGGGCCTCAGTCATTTCCATTTCAGGGGGGTGATTGGACAGCTTCCTGGGCAATCCCAGGGGATGATTTAACCCCGAAAAAAACTTGTGATTTCCTTGGAGATCAGAACTCCGGTTTGGCGGATGCTCTTTCTTCAATTGGCAATAGGGATTAGGGAGGGGGAGGTGCAGATTGTGCGGGGAAGTAGTGCTTCATACAACGTCCGCCTTCACAGTCTATCTGGCCAGGCTTTATAACTTACACAAAAGAAACATTGTAGGGTCCACTCAAGCAAGATGTCTGGATATATCACATCAGTTAATCTTTGGATGGACACCTGGTCATTAAGCAACATAAAAAATAAGAATCTTGTTGTCTTCTGTGAGATGCAAGATGCAACAAATGCAGTCATGTGCTCCTCCTACTAATCTATATGGCCGCTGCTCTAGCAGTGATATGTGGTAGGATCAAAATCAGCATCCGTTTGACTACTAGACTACTATGATCCCTGATCTGCATCGGTCTCCATCCCTGTCCTTCCCCGCTGATCATCCTCCACCAATTTGCAGGTCTTCTCATATATGTAGTATCTTGGTTGATGCTGGGTCTGCACTTTCAGACGCCACTGTCTTAAGGGGGGAGGGGGGTGACAAACAAACATCACTTGAAGGACAGAATTGATAATGCTTTTCACACACCATTTTTGTTGGAATACCCATATGTTAGATGTCACATGCTTGTATCTAGTTATGCTTATACTAAGCATGCTTATACTAAGCATGCTTATACTAAGCACATCACCGCTACGACTCTACTGGCACTCTTCCTTTGTTTTTTTCTCACTGAAATACTACCTCATATTCACTACTGAAGCTATCACTGTGAGGCTCCACAGCTCTGTTTAGTCTCATCAGTCCCTCCTGCCCCTCAAAAAAAAATTTCTTTGGACACTACAATCTGCTGATACATCCTGCTGTGTCTGCCATTTTCCCAAAAGGTGGCATGAGTGTAATGCCTTCATTTTTGCTCCCCAGTCTTGTAGTGTTAGTGCAATGTTATAAGTGGGGATTCTCTTTTTCTACTATGCTATGTTGTGCTAAGAGCCACTGAAAAAGTGGATGCAGGGCTGAAAATGTGACAAAGTAGTGCGGTTTAAAAGGTGATGGTTATATTGATTTTGCTTACAAATAAAATTGGTATACAGTACAAATTATGCAGGAAACAGGGTATGCTCATATCTTAAGATTGAAGGATTGATTTTTTTGGGTAAAATGAATGATACAATAGGACTTGAAACCTCTCAAAATGTAGGAAATTTGAATTCAAAATTCCAAAAAATAATGAAACATTAAGTATGTAAGAATTAATTAAAAAGAAACATGTTGAATGCAATATTCAAGAAGAAATGATTTTCATTTTGATGCAAAATGATTATTAACATAATTTTTCACATGTCTTTATAATTAAGTGTAGAAAAAAAGAATGAAATGTCAATAAATATTGAGAAATAAGAAGCTGTAAGAAATTAATTAAAATAAATAAATTTTGTTTAATTGCAATTTTCAAAGTGATCCTTTAATTTTTACAGACATTGAATATTACCATACAGTTCTACACATTTTAAAACCTAGGAAACCAAAATTTGACTGTTATCCAAAGACTGCCCTCCTCCCAGAAGATTATGTATAAAATCTAATTAAGGAATCATGAAAAAAAAATCAAGTCCATGTTGAATTTGATGATTGTTGAGCCACCAGAAGCAACAAAAACATCCAGAAACTTCTTCTTGATGGATCATTCAAAAAATAAGTCAGTAAAAGCATTGGGGTAGAATATGAAAGAAATCCACAACAAAATGATCAAACAGTTTGTCAAGACAATTGCTAGGTGGAATAGCAAAATATGGAGCCACAACAAACAAGAGGTCAAAATTCACAACATCTGCAACCAAATAAAATCAAATCAGTCCCTAGTTCCTTTCAGCCAAAGAGTACAAGTCACAGTGCCTTTCATGTATCAAGCAACTGAAAACACCTGTACATATGTATTCATAATGTTGTTTTAACTTTCCCTCTTGTAATAAAATTAGAGGCAAAAACTAAAGGTGTATTTCATGAGCTACAAAATACAAAGACACAAGAGAGAGACATGAGAATTACCTAAAGGACCAGGATGAACTAAGTGAGAAGAAGACTGAAAACAACACAACCACACACATACACACAAACTAACAAAAAACAGAGACAAGACACTGGTTGGATGGCAGCTGGTGATCTCGAGATTGACAACAAAGAAAGCTTTGAGAGAATCTTGTCAGAGTTGATGGAACAGGGGGCTGAGGCCGAGTTCAGCTGGACATGTAATGGATAGTACACTGTAAATAGCTTGATGTCACTTCAAATCAAGTGTTCATTGTTTTTTCCTAGTGTAGTACCCTTGCTTGTACTTGTGTCTGTTGATTGTCTATTTACACTGAGATGTGTTGGAATTTCACTCAAGCTCTCTCTCTTCCATTTTCTCATATACAGTCAATCATTTTCCAACCTCATTTCACTCCCCTTTTCCTTCTGCTAAGCTAGATATTTTTCCGATTATTTATTATGCATCACTACCTGCTCCCACAACTTGTGCATTTTGTATCTATAATCTAGACGACTTAAGATTTACTAAATAAAGAGAAATGGAAACAATCAGTTCAGCTTATTATTGATCCTGAGGTGACACATTAGCCTCTCCTCAGTCTTAAAATGAGTGCAATTTAGTCTACTCAGCTAAGAAATATAAGTATATCAGACCTCGCCTGCTTCTTTGGATTTACTTTTCCCTATCTCTGTTTTAATTTTAACAAGATGCAAAACCATGTAAGAGAAGAGTGATCTAATTTCACCTCCTTTTCCCTTGGAACTGCCAACAATCAAACTGATCCAATCCCCGGATTGGTATTTATTGGGTATCAGATCAAAAATGGACCCAATACCGGGTATTTGTATTGGATCAATCTTCAATCCAATCCCAATTTATCAGACATCTAAGATTGGGTGAAGCAATCCAATACCAATACCCAGTATTGGGTCCATTTTTGATCCAATCCGGGGATTGGATGATACCAAAGGGTGAGGCACACGGCCTGCAGCCTTTGGGTGTTGAATTGAGATTAAAATGCAATACCAATCCCTATCCAATAAAATTTCAATCCAATACCATGGGATTGGATTGCTAGGGTGATCCAATCCCTTATTTTTCAATACCTGGTATTGAAAAATCAATCTGATCCAATACATTAGCCAATACTGTATTTGATCAGATTGGTTTTACCATTGGAACTGTCTACCTAGCCAGATGGAAAGTTTTTCTACTGTCAGTAAATAAAATTGATGACCTAATAATACCCAGGAATCCTATTTCGGATCCATTAGAGAACAGTCACTCCAATTTGTTGGTGGTTGGGTGTTCAAGAGATTTGGACAAGTGGATTGCAGCAATTGAATTTCAAGATCTATCCATACATTCTAGTGATTTTTCCTTGGCTAGCTGAATGTATTACTTGTTTCAGTTGGAAGTTTCTTCATATGCAAGCAGTTTCAGAGCTTCAGTGATCCACCCCCATTTTTGCTAACACATTGTCTCTGAGAGTAAATTATTCATCATAAGTTTAAAAGCCTCATCAATCTTCAAGAAAAATGGCTATCCCATTTTCAAAAAGCACTGAAAGAGGGGTTTCTTGTATAGAGGCTGTGCACAAAGTAAGTTATCCATTGGCCTGAGACTCTGGTAGCTTCCTTCAAAGTTGCAACACTTGGTAGTTACATCACCTGTAATGGTAGTGTAAAGATGAAGTGCTGATTTTCCACTCACCATCATGACTTTCCCCATGATTTTTGGAAAAATCTTGCCCATTACATTATCCATTTTTTCTTGGAATTTTTTTGCATGCTCATTACACTATCAACAACTTGTAGCTTTTTTTTTGAAAATCCCCCTAAATGATGGTAAGACATGTGATACTTTTTGGAAATTTATGGCCCATGTTGCTTCCAAAGTCCAAAAAAAGAGGTGGTTTGCTCTTTAAAATGTGTTTAGGATTGCTTAACCTCTGGATAAATTAATAATGCATGACTTTATTCATTCATTACAGAAAAAAACTTAATCATTACAGTTCTGGATTAGTGAAAAATTCTCCACTACAGATCATTCTAATTTATCATTGAAGGACTAAAGTGCACTAAATGACTGTGATAAAGCAGATAGTGCAGTTGCAAGTAGCTAAGCAAACCAGTGTTGAAAGTTGCGGGGGAGGTTGGGATGTCTGCCTGGCTTGTAACCACCATGAAACCAGTCAATTAAAAAGTGGTGGATTTGGTTATTTGACACCCCCTATTAGGGGGTATCAAATATAACCAGATCTACCATTATTTAATTGACTGGTTTGAAAAAATCCACCCTTCTTTAAACATGTTGGTTCTTCATTTAACCCCTTTTGGGGCCCATTGATGCAAAAAAATTGGGAAAAGTGACTGGTTTCTAATGGTGGATTTCCTGTATTTGGTAACCCTTCTTGATTGTTTTTCTGATCCTCTCAAGTAGTTGAGATTTTCAGATCAGTATGCACAGGAATTTTGGGTCAAACTTCATTCTGAATGTGATGAAGGAAGATAGTCAAGTCTTTGTTGTGATGTGCCTACACAATTGGCAAATGGTGCAATAGGTTACACCCAAAGTACTACTTTGGGACCTTGCAGTGTGAAAGAGCCGGGGGCCACAGTTGTGCCAGTTTAATATGTAGGGACTTGAATAGTCCTTCACAGTGGAGATGCTCTTAAACCCAAGCCCCTAAATTGCAGGTCCTGGTACATCCAGGCTGGTACAAAGCACCTGCCCTCCTTTTTGAGGTGACCCTGGCACTCTGGGGTCTTCCAGGCTCTGGAATAGAGATAGTCATTCTGGACCCTGGTACCAAGCGGTACCCAGGTACCCCCCCCCCCCAAATTTGGGGCAAAATCAGGTACCTAGTACTGCACCTGACACCTCCTGGGCGGTGCCACAGGTACCTCTGGCAGGTACCACAGGTACCACCTTGACTCTTGGTTTGCTTGCGGGTGTGACTCTTGGGAGCCATGGTTGTCAACTGTTGTGATCAGTTGGGTGCTGTGGGCAGCTCAAGGGGAACAGGACAATATTCATCAGGGATATTGATAGAGGCTTGGTTAAACGACTCCCAAAAAGTGGAGAGCCGACTCCCAAGCCCCAGATTCCCCGAAAAAAGGGAGTCGAACCCCCAAAACCTTTGATTGGTTTGGGAGTCGACTCCCTAGAAAAAATAATAATAAAAAATCAAAATCCCCGGTTGGTTTGGGAGTCGGCCTCCCAAACCGACCAGGGTTTGGGGGTCGATGACCCAAAATACCCAGGGCAGCGGCCAGGAGGAATCCACCCGGCCGCTGATCAGGTACACACCAGGGTTTGGGGGTCGATGACCCAAAATACCCAGGGCAGCGGCCGGGAGGAATCTACCTGGCCGCTGATCAGGTACACTCAACGGCCGGGAGCTGACCCCTCGGCCGTGAGAGTGCACACACCTCAGCGGCCAAGACAATTCCTCTTGGCCGTTGAGGCTAAACACTCTCAACGGCCGAGATAATTCCTCTTGGCTGTTGAGGGTACACACTCTCAACGGCCGATGGGAAGAGGCTCGGCAGTTCAAGGTGTACAGTCCTCGATCTTTGAGGGTACACTCGACGGCCGTTGAGGTGTACACTCAGAGAAACTCGGCTGATGAGTGTACACGTCAAAGGTCGACAGCTTTGTAAAACGAGGGCCAGTAGACCGGCTGATCGGATATCATCGTTTCTGTGGGCGAATTCAAGAGAAACACCTCAACGGCCGAGAGGAATTGTCTTGGCCGCTGAGTTGTGTACACCTCAACAGCCGAGACGGTTTCCATCGGCCGTTGAGAGTGTGTACCCTCAACGACGAGGGGAACCGTCTCGGTTGCTGAGGTGTGTACACCTCAACGGCCGAGGCAGTTTCCATCGGCCGTTGAGAGTGTATATGTACCCTTGATGGCCAAGAGGATTCCTCTCGGCCATTGAGGTGTACACTCTCATGGCCAAGGGGTCAACTCCCAGCCGTTGAGAGTGTACCTCAGTGGCCGGGAGGAATTTTCCCGGCCGCTGCCCTGGGTATTTGACCGGGGATTTTTATTTTTTATTATTATTTTTCTTAGGGAGTCGACTCCCAAACCAATCAAAGTTTTTGGGGGTTTGACTCCCAAAATTCGGGGATTGTGGGGGTTGGGAGTCGGCTCTCCATTTTTTGGGAGTCGTTTAACTAACCCCCTATTGATATATACATATCATTCACATGTCACATTCTACCTTCCCGCAGCCCCTGAATATCCCTGGGGGGTAAGCAGTACCAGGGTACCGCACCGCTTTCTGGCCAAATTCAAGTACCTAGTACCGCACCCAGCACCTCTGCGCGGGTGCAAGACAGGTGTGAGGGGTACCTGCCAAGCGGTACTAGGTACCTGCCGCGGGTACCAAATGACTATCTCTACTCGGGAACAAGGGACTTTTGTCAATCTAGAGTGTGGCTGTGCAACCTGCTTGTAAAAGCCTATTTTTGGTCTCAGTTGTGCACACAGTCAATGCTTCTCTCATCACTGGAAGTTGTTGAATTAGTTCCCTGTATGAATAGCATCTTGCAAGGGATTGATTCTCATTTGCCAGCTAGTAGATTGCATTAATCAATAATTTGGTGTCAATATTCAAATTCTATCCACCCCAGTTAAGATTGAACATGAACTGAGACTCAGACAAAAAGCTGGATAAGGCAAAAACCAAAGAGATGGAGTGGCCTTTGGACCATCAGGCTTCCATGAAAAATTCCTCAAAACAGGTGGTAGTAATTGTAATATTTCTGAAGCCTATGTGAAAACATAATACAAGTTCTTTAGAAAGTATCGAGGCTTGGATTCTTTGGAAAATGTTGTAAGATGGGCAATTGTTTTATAAAAAGGGATTTTGTTGATAAACAATATCTTTATCTGAGGTTAGGATTATTGTTAATCTATCAGAAGTCATTCCCTCAGGATATTTTAATGGAAGCAAGGGCATGACAAGAACATTGTAAAGCTGAAATTTTCTTGAACCAAAGTATGTATAGTGATTTGTTTATTTTTTTACAAACAATCAAGAGGATGGAAGCACACATTTACACTAATTATTGTTTTTATGATAATAAAACAAGAGATCAAGTAAGATGAGAAATACAGCAACTAACTATTTCCACCTTGCTGTCCACACAATGATAATTTCAGTAAGAAAAAAGAATGGAGAATGAGAATTAAAGATGGATATATATTTTTGTGTACCGCTACATGGAGGTATATACGACTTTGTTTTTCTTCCGCTTACGTACCCATATCAGCCATCCGGAGATTCAAGAAAAGAAAACGATGAAGATGATCTATAGTGAGTAAAATGAAGTTGAAGGATGAAAAAATTCACGAGCGTCTTTAATTGAGTTATCACAAATGAAGACGCAGAAATATTTCAACAAGTTCAAGAAGAAGGCTCTTGATTTTTTTTTATTCAGAATTGAATATAGATGTTACTTTTTTATTAATTGAAGATAGTACTCTTCCGATAGATGTCCAATAAAATCCAAGTATTTATTCATCGACCATAAACCGATCGAGTACCTCAACGTCCCGCAATCCTCGGATAACCGGATCAACTGGCGATTCATCAAGATCGGATCTTAACACGCCGTCGCTTCCGATGTGTAGACCATTCAGAACTTCCCCTCCTTCCTCGACCCGATGTACTCTTAAATGTTGGTTGAGATTGTCATGTCGACTGAATGATTTCATACATGCCATCCAGGGGCAGTTGTAAGCTGAATACGCAGTTATCATCAAAAGAAAAAGAGGTGAAATTCATACTAGTCAGCTCGGCGATGATGGATTACTGACCAACAGAAAGGATGTTATCACTATTTCCCAATAAGATTAAAATATACTCACGTTTATCGTTCGTGTGAATGCTTCGAACATGTCGCTTGAGATGCTCACTTCGCCTACAGAAGGCAAATTAACATTTATCAACTTTTGCAAACTCGCAAGAGAAAAAAAACGAAGATGAAGCTACCTACTTGAAACATTTTCCACAACCCTTGACCTGACAGATGAAAATCTTCTTGGGTTTCCCAGTCTTTGTTAATTCACAGTATTTCACAGTTTCCGCATGCGGGTTCAAATTCGGATCAAACGCTTGACCTCCTGGAACTGATTGCAACCCGATTGAAAGATGTCCATCCGGTATGGGCAATCCCAAGTCCGGGGATATTGGTGGTCTTCTTCCCCTTGATCTTTTTGTAGGCAGACGACTGTAATCAGGTTCAATAAGGAACGGCCTCGAAGAAATTTTAGAAGATGCAGTCCGATTGTGGTTTGAGAGAGTTGATCGGTGGGAAGTACGTCGAGTTTTACTAGGCAAGTGATAGGGTGATGAATGAGAAGATTTAGTTTGCTGAGATAAACTGTATGGAGACGAAGGGGATCTGCAGTTGTTTTGATCGCCAGGTGAGCTGGTTGGCATCTTGAGAGGATGTGCGAAGATTGACGGCATCCTGGCCCCAACTTCATGGTCGGCAGAATTCTGGAGAGGCTGGCCGATTGATGCCCTAAGACTGGTAACCAGTGACTCAACGCTATGACTCTCATTTTGGTTTGCCCACCAATGCTGGTGAAAGGGATCACTCAATGGAGCAAAGATGTCATCTTGAGGCGTAACCGGCTGACTGAGGGGGTTGACGTGAATTGGGTTGACGCCGGCCGAATTAACAGATGAGCCAGTCGAAAATTCTGAAGCAGTAGACCCCGTCCGGAGCATCGTAGGCGTTTGAGATAACTCCATGGCTAACGGCGGTATTGATCCCGACTCAGTATACTGACAGAGCGGAGAGGAGCCAAAATAAAGGTTATTGGACGAATGAGCAAGGCATGGTGATGATGATCTCAGAGCCGCCATCTCTGTTGGACTGAGAGGCTGTTGATTTTGATCATCTTCAAGGGCCGAGGAATTGCTCCGGAAACTCTGCCAGCCGGCTTGCTGTTGGGTATGAAATTGGATCTGATTCTCATGGCCGGCTTGTCGATGATGAGGACTGAAGGAGGAAAGCTCGGTGGGGCTGCAATTCGATCGTTCTTCATCCACCTCATGATCTGAGTGATGATGCTCTTGAAAAGTGAAAGTAGGCTCAAATCCCATCAAAGCATGATCAACTACCGATGACTGGAACGGAAGACCACCCAAGTCACTGCAGTCAACGTAGCACGAGCCCAGGCCCATGATGTTTCCATGAGCTAAACAGGATGAATGGTGGTGACAAAGGTAAGAAAAAAAGGGACGGAGGAGGCATCCATAATATCAGTAACCGTTCACTCAATGGATCAAGCAGAGAATTCCGGAAGACAAGTGAAAAGATATATCCCAAAATGGCTGAGAGGTGTAGTTCTTGCACAAGCAGCTAAATTTATCCAACCACGTTGGAAATGACCCCCAACCAATATCGGCCAGAGTAACACTGGTAACTAAAGCATGGCCTTTTTGATAATATCACCAAAAAACAACACTACAGCTTGGAACCCTTTGAGGCAAAGAGCTTTCATGGGCGTGGAGACTCAGCTTCCCTTGGAGGTAGTAAACTCCGTTTGGAAACGTAGATATGTTTATACAACAGGCACGAGTTGTGATGCTTGGGGGTGCGTGGCAGGAAAAAGGCTTACATGTTACAGCTGTCGCCCCCGCGCCAGAGGCGGAATGGTGGGAATCCAGCAGAGGATGTGACATGTCATGATCGCCCAAGTTCAAACTCAATCGTGCTGGGCGAGGAATCGAGTCGGATGTCACAGGGCAGGCCTGATGAATTTCCTCAAATTGAAAGTCTAGCTCGGCGTGAAGAGTCGGAGGTGGATCGGTGACATCCTCACAGGGAAGGTGTGAAATTTGACCATGTTGATCAGTCGTTGCTACTTGGTAATGCGGCTGGTGCGGATTAGCAACGAGACAGTGGCCACCAGGATTGATGTTGTTGTTATTAGACTGCTGATCAGCCCTCAAAATCTGCCCGGAATTCGAGCTCGTAAGTATACTGTCGGATGAGCGTGGTCGGTTTTGGAAACAGGGAGAAGCCTGGAAAATTCCGCCGGTGATGGCGGTAGAATCACTCTTGGCTCGGGCGAGAGGGTCAGTGTCGCCGAATATTTGGCAGGTTGTATGGTGATGGTAATCCCCTCCTGGGAGTTGAATCGACGGTGATGACGGCGAGGGACAGCCGATGGCGGAGTTTTGGTTGATCCCTGTCGGGGAAACTGTTGAGAAGATTTAGGATCATTCAGCTTATTACACTTGCCGGATCATTTTGGACATCTGATTTTAGTTTGTCCTAATCTGATTAAATATATAACAATGATACAGGAGAGGAAAGGAAAGGAAAGGAGGGCAGTGGGGAGGAGAAAAGGGGCGGCAGCGGATCATGAGAAGAAAATGGGTGTTTATTATGGCCCGGTGATCAACTGACCATTCAAAACATCAGAAGAATAGAATTCCATCTTGATTTGTATCGGAAGAGGCCTAAAAGGGGTATGTGTTGAGTGACTCCGGACGGAAGACGTGTTGGAGGTATTACGGAGGTGGTGGTAGCGGTGATAGTGATTCAATGTGATATGCGGACTTGAGGTGGAGATTGTCAGTAAGACCGGATGACAAGTGGTGCCAAGAACATGAAAGGAAGGCTAGTTTGGCTGAATACTAGGCCTGCTGAACTATGTAAAAGGAGAAACCGGGCGTCAGAACAAATCACTGATGAGTTTGATTAATGGCTAGCAGGATTTTTAACAGAAGCTGAGAAGAATGAAGTCAACGGATGTATAAATTGAGTTAGTTTTAAATATTTAAAAGAACAACCACGTCCAGCAAAAAGCTGCCAACCAGCAGAACGAGACACGATCTGGTGGAACTACTTTCCACTTGGTCAGGGCTTCATAGTAAGACTTCAGATACGTCAGAAAACCATCAACCAACCAACACCTCCGTCGTGTTGGGGAGCAGGAAAGCTCGTTGGTTGGATATCTCAAAATAGAAAAAAAAAGGAAAGAAAAAAAAAAGCCAAGAAAAAAAGTCTGATCTTCAGAGCCAACCACAATTCAGGGGTCAGATCAAGTTGGGAAAAAGTCAGCTTGATCAGACGGTTTGTCATTATCTTCACCGTTATCCTTGGGCGCTGCCGAGGATATTGGAAAAATCCAGAGTAATAGACAGAAACAGAGACTAAGATCCATAAAGAAGCAAAAAAGGGCGAAAAGACAGAAAGAACGAAGGATGGGAGAATAAAGATCGAGCTAATTGAAGCTGATGAGATTGGGTTGATCTGGTTGGAATCTGGTATGAGTGTATGAGTAACTTTATAAGGTAAAAATAATGATAATACTTAGGACGGGATGGGAGATTGATTGAGTGTCAAGCTATGTATGTATAGAGATTTGAACCTTATGCCCCGTTGCTTTTTTGACCTTAGCCTAACTAAAGTGGAGGTTATCTATATGTACTGTTAGTTAAAGATTCATTTTATTTACGTAACGCATAGCCCAGCCGCTGCCTTACAAGACACCAGACATGCACCGGTGAGGACACGCGCTTGGGCTATGGAACATGCATATAGAAAACCAGCGGGTGGTTTTTTGAATTGAATTGAATACACCTCGCTTGAATTAGTGATCAGAGAGCTTTGATACATCGAAAGCAAAACGATTGCATTTGAGCCCATTGAATTTTCAATTGAAATATGTTTTAGTGTAGCATATATGCTGGTATCGTGCAGTACGATTGAATGATTAGTGAATAATTCTACTGTTATGCTTGAAGATCGCCAGGGTAATGGCTATATCTATTCACGAAATTCACTCTGAGTTTCGACTGCACAATCTGCCCGGCCACGAGCTGACCGACGAAGCGCAAGTCCACCTAAACACCAAGTGGTTTTCTAAGGCGCCCTAATTCATCCAAGAAAAAGAGTAACCATAGCCGCATATAATGGCAAAGAGGTGCGATTGAAGAGTGCCCCGATTGAGATCTATTGATCTGTATACTCCAATCTCAATTCAATTGAGTCGGAGATGAATCGGCCACAGGAGGTGGCGATGGACGCTCAGCCAGTAGATAGAGAGGGGTCGCAAAGGAGAAGAGGAAAGGAGAAATGGGAGCCAGGAGTGAAAAGATAGAGGAGTAGGAGATTGGGAAAGGGTAGCTCAATCGTGGAAGCGACAAGCTTTTCATAATTAAAAGGCAAGAGAAACCTTACAATTTAAAGCGCGGCTCTATACAAGACTGAAACAGAGAAGTTTAGGAAAGGATTGATTCCACCTACACTGTTGGATAAATCACGATGCCCACACTTCCCGCTGTTTTCCTTGCCCCCTTGGTAATACAACAACGTGTTGTTAGCAACCGTTCAACCAACTTTGTGAGTGTGTTTGTGTGTGGGATATTTCTAAAGTAAGTTTAGGGATCTGTGATGGAAGACTGTTGTTTAGTTTTTCTTCTGCTTCCTAGTTTATTTTTTTCGCGTTAATTGAACAAGAGAAATTGTCGGCGACAGGAGGGAGATAGAGGGACAGGGACAGAAACCGGGGAGAAGAGGAGAGAGAGAGAATGAAATTTGAATTATAATTTGTAAGAGGTGGAAGTTGGGGGAGCCTACTGAATTGGAACTTGGACGGTCCATTCAAATATTCGATCTGCGTTGAGTTTGATAACCGAACCCACTCGGGGTCTGAAGCATCAAGCTGTCAAAAGTCAAGAATACAGGCGGCGATCATCGCCTGATGCGGTGGCACTTGAGTCGTAAGTATGTATTTAGAGATTATGCATTTGTGTGATATGTCTGTATACACATACATACAAGAAATATGTACGATGGTGGGTGGTGATGAAGATATGAAGATGGTTGATGATAATACGGATATGTATACTTTAAAGGCTCATTAATTGGGAATAATCCTATGGGATTTTATTTTGTGCGTTCTATGAATGCAGCAACGGTACTGGCCTCTGAGTAATGTGATGGTGGAGAACATGAAAATAAAATTTAAACGGGTGTAAAAACTCACAAAATTCGTGAATCTTTCAGGCTAGATGCATTTATTTGCAAGGGATGATGATTATCCAGTATCTTCCATCATCCCGTCATCAATCATCCATCATCATCCTGGAGATTGTTGTTCTATCGCTGGCTTGCTTGACATTGGTTTGGGGGATGGCTGGCCACTTGTCAGTAGGCTCACTTCATAGATGCATGATGGAACTGTAGCGTTATGTGTTCAATTAAGTAACCCGTGCAGGTCATGGGCGACTGGGTAGTCCCATGCCCAAAATACGCGCCAACGAGCAGAAAAACTAGTGCATAGGCAGGTTAGGGACGTAAGCCCAGAAGGATAAAACTCATATAATTATTGACATCAGGAATTATATTCAGATGAAAGTCTTAGCCCATGAGCCGTCGGTCAATCAATCCCCACACTCGTTCTGTCGAAGTAGCTTTAGATTTGTTTGTTTGTTTGTACCCTCCCCAAAATCCAAACCCAGACCAGCGTCTCAGTCAGCCAAGTCATCGAGCCAACCCGATGTCTTGAATTGATAATTGCCTGTATGGATTTATCAACTGGGTGCTCCGACGAAGCAGGCCGAAGCTCCTGGAGCAATGGGTTGGAAGTCATCCATGGTTCACATTTCCGTGTGGTCAAGAAATGTCAAGAAATTAACCTTGAATATCACACTTGTTAAAGCTCACAAGAACAAATGAAAATGAAAAACTACCATGATGATTTGCATAAATAAATATATATGCATACAGAATATCTGCCAAGTTCCACGCACATGCATAAAGATGTATGCCGGGATCCTTGATTTATCTTCAAGGGTCACTGTCATTTCCCAGTCATGTGCTACGGCTAGCGTTGTCGATCGGAAAGTTTGCCGGTGAGAAGAATCATCAAACGAACTTGAGGGAGAGGAAAAGCTGTACAAGAATCAAAACTCGAGCCCGTACATGCCGCTTTCCCCTTTCTTCACTCTTTTTTTTTCTTTCCTTGATTAATGTTACCGGAGCCGTTCAAACACACAGATAGATAAACATGGGCACGCATAATATGTTTTTATGCAAATCATCATAACAGATCATAGGCATTGAGAATAGGGGATGACGGAGGGAAAAAACATTTTCACTTAGGGCCAACACACTAGGTCGTACATAAGTGCACTCCTTCTCTGATTTGTGTTTTTGAATCACCCTACTCGGCCTTGCTCGGCCTCCTTGACCTCCTCTGTTGTTGAGTTCAATAAGCAAAAAAAAGGCTTCAAAAGGAGACAAGGGAGAAAAACAAGGACAAGGAGACCGATCAGAAAATCACTCACTCGTCACCTCAGTACAGAAATGATTGCGCTCGAAACGCAAGGACATGTAAAAAAACAGTTGGACTTTTTTTCTTTCTTGTTACTAGTTTGCACGAGATATATAGATTGGGCGACGATCACGATCGCTATTCTTCCTTCATCGATGTTACATTTTGGTTTTCTTCGCCATGAGCTAACAAATGTCTGATGCTTGGCCGATGTACCAACTTAAAACCATGGCACGAGTTTCCAGACAAGTACTTAAGATTTTTTATTTTAGACGGACAGAATCAAAAGATCGCGCAACCAAATTTTCGAAATTGGTTTCAGTGAAAGGTCCCCAAGAAAACAAACCCCTAACGGTTGACGTATTGGCTGACTTCATCTTCCAGGGGCGGTGCAGACTCAGTGCAGGATACATAATTGGCCAAGCCGTGAAAGAACCAGAGAATGCCTGGGCAGAAAGTGCATACAAAGCTTTCTTAATAACTATCATCCTCTATTTGCACGGTAGATGATCTTTATCCTTACGGAGTGTCAACATTTCATAGAGGAGCCTTCCGCCTACCTGCGATTTAGTTTTTCCAGTGGCGGTGCTTGCGGTTGGCACCCCATCTTCCTGGGTTCTTGTTACGTAAAAAAACATAGCAGAAAGTTGGTTGTAAAGCTGCATACTGCTGCACCGGGTCACTCCCATCAAAAGATTCAGAGAATTTCTCTCTTGCTTTTCGCCGTTACAAATGTTGGGCATGTACAAGTGTACGTTTTTCTATACAGTCTATCGTAGTCGTGCGTAAAAGCGACGTATGAGGATGCAAATCGTAGATCCTTCATCAAGTGTATTTTGATTTTTCGGCCCCGAATCCTTGCGTTATATAGGCTCTGGGATCTGTGTAACTACAACATACATAAATATACTCTTTCTCATCATTGGTCTGACCTGAACTCCTTCCTTCGTTGATGTGGTTTGAAATCCTTTTCGCCTAAAGATCTTACAATCTTATCTTGTTTTAATTTACGGACTTACGCACTCCGACAAGTGCTTCGCACAACATGAGGGTAGGCGACCCAACATCGCGAACCTAGCGCGATTCCCTCAGATCACCTAAAATCTCTGAAATTAATTCTACAAAAAATCGTGTTTCTTATCCTGATCGGAATTTGTAGATAGAGTCTTCATGCGCCTTCCAAGAAATGTGGGAGCCATAAGACCCTGTGAAGTGGGGTAGAAAACAAGATAAAAGATATTAAAAACATTAGTGGGTCAGCCGAACAAGCCGCTCCCAACGGAGGGCCAAGAAGGAAGCATGCTGGTCGACGACGCGGTACGACCCTGTCTAACAAGAGGGATTCCCCCCAGTGGGCGAGATTGTGCAGTCTGTTCGACCGGGAGGGGGACCCTGCCGGTTGAAGAGATTGTACTACCTCGGCGGCCAGCAGGAATCCCCCCTCGTCGACGAGATTGGAGCACCTCATTGGCCAGGAGGTACTTACTCTTCCCGCTAGCGCGGTTATTATTCGCGAAAATATATAGATCACGTAACTCAGAATAAGAAACAAGGTTCTTGAGACACAATTCAGATAGAAAGAATGAAGATGAGAAAATCTACCCATGCTTGAGACACGAGTAAGATAGGTATTAGGGGCAGAAGCAACTATTGAGGCATGCAAATTTTGGTTGTGGTGAAAAAAAGGAGGTAAAAAATCAAGAGATTCATCAATTATCACAAGGCATAACTGTATAAAAAACAACAAAGAGAAACATGAGAAAAGAGCAAATTAGACATTGACCAAGAAGTTTACACCTATTCAGCCATTAAAGAAGCATAAGTTAAAAGATCTTTCAGATAGAAGTAAAACAGAAAGAAGAGAGAATTCTTAAAACTCCTAGTGAGGCATGGGAATTATGGTTATGTTGAGAGATGATGAGTATTATAAGAATGAAAGAGATGAAAAGCCTCAATCTAAATTTCTCCTGCATTTCATCCCCTTTTTATCCTGTGTAAGGATGGCCCCATGGGACCTGGGTACCCGGGGTACAGTGCCTAGACAGTGAAAAGTGGCTGCTTATTTTGGATTCCAGAGCTCCAAAACACAAATTTGAGATCATGAGACTTGGTCAGGTGGTGCAGAATAGGTTCTGAAAATGAATATGAAAAAATGAAAACAAAAAACAAAGTTTCAAAATTTGTGAAAAATAAAAAATAAAACTTACTTTTCTCAAAACCTTTGAAATTCATTTTGGGTGAGTGAGAGTGCTGAGAGAAAGGAAGATTGGGATAATAGAAGAATGATTATAAATGAACATTTTGGAAAAATTGGTTTCCAGATGGCTTCAAACAGCTGTTGAGTGGGGCATTCACCAGCCCACATTGCAGTAAAGCACTAGAATTTACTGTTTTGGCTCCAATCTGGACAACCAACCTGGCCAAACCTTTTTGGGTTCCAATTTTTTCATTTATAATCATTTTTTCCATGTTCCACTCTTTCTTTCTCTCAGCACTCTCACTCCCCCAAAACAAATATCAAAGCTTTTGAAAAAAACCATTTTTATTTTTTATTTTTCACAAATTTTGAAACTTTGTTTTTTGTTTTTATTTCTTCATATTCATTTTCTGGGACCTATTCTGCACCAATTCACCAAATCTTGCGACTTGAAGTTTGTGCTTTGAAGCTGTAGAATCCAAAACAAGCAGGCAAAAATGACAGTCCACCCACTGTAAAACCACAAAAATGAGATTAATTTTGAAGGAAGAAAGATAAAATAAAAAGAGAGTGACAAATGGAAATGGGATGATCCTCTTATCCTATTTATTGTACTCCTATATCATGCAGTTTGTGCACCACTCAGCAA